TCTCTCTCTCTCTCTCTCTCTCTCTCTCTCTCTCTCTCTCTCTCCTCCTTCTCTCTACGAGAAACTTGTCTGTTGGGGAGGCACCTTCAGCGAAGACTCCACCTGGAACGCAAAAGAAACAGGAGTCTGAACGTTGCCTAAAAGGCAGCGCAAGTCGGGCAACAAATTAAGATGCACTTTCCCCAAAGACCACACCAGAAACTTTTGATTTTAAAACAAAAACAAGAATAGAAACGAAAATCGTAAGGGCAGCTCGGGTCGAGCCACATATTAAGATTCGCCTTTTCCAAAGGCCCAGCCAGATACTTTCGACCCGAAAAAAAACAGGATCCGAAACGAAGTCGAAAGGCAACACAGATTTAGATGCACTTGCTCCAAAGACCCAACCAGATACTTACTACTCAGGAAAAAAATCAGGATCCGAAACGAAGTCAAAAGGGCAGCTTGCGTCGAACCACAGATCGAGATGCACTTGCTGCGAAGACCCAACCAGATAATTACTACTTCAGAGAAAAGCATGACCCTAAACGAAGTCGAAAAGGCAGCACAGGTTCTCGGCGGAGACCCGAGCTTAGTTGGTTCTCTCGTCGAGGTGGCCTCTGTTTCTTTCTCGGTACGCCTCTATCTTTCCTTCCTTCTTTCTCTCAATCTCTCTCTCTCTCTCCCTTTTTCTCTTTCTCTTTCTCTCTTTCTTTCCCTCCTTCTCTCTCTCTTTATCTCTCTCTCTTTACTTCTATCTGTGTCTCCTTCTCTCTCGCTCTCTCTCTCCCTCTCTCTCTCTCTCTCTCTCTCTCTTTCCGTCTCCAGCCACCCTCTCCTTCGCGGCCGATACGCCCGTTCCTTACTTCGAGCTCGTGCGCGGGCACGCCTTCCTAAGACGGCCCATCCGGACTAGCGTCACCTCGAATTGAAGCGCAGGCGTGACCTCATGTAAGGGCCGATCTGGATGAAGGTTCCTCCTCTCCGCGGAAGAAGAAGCCCCTCCGAACTCGAGCGTGGACCCAGCGTGATGCTAAACAAAAGCCCAGTGTGCAAGAGCTGGTGCGATCTCCGACGGTCGCTTTTGAACGGAAGCACTCCTGAACTCGAGAGCCAATTCCACCTCGAGTGATGGCCTGCCCAGCTGAAGAGACGCCCCGGAATGGGAACACTTCTGCGCTCGGGAGCTGGTGCCACCTCGTGTGTGGGCGCTGGCAATACCGTGTGCGTTGTGACTGCAAGCTTCGAGCGGTGCTAGCACCTCGTACGAGGGCTCGCACGACGGAAAAAACGCTCCGGATGTAAGCGCCGACGAGACCTCCCGAGTTACTCCTTAGCGTACTGAACAGTAGCGCTTCCGAACTCGAGCTCTAGTTTCACCTCGCAAAATGGCTCGCCCGACAGGGCGAACGACCGGAATGGCAGCCCCTCCGAACTAGAGCCCCGGAACCTCCTCGTAAGATGACCCGCCCGACTGAACAAACGTTCCGAATGCAAGCGCTCGCGATACCTCTTGCGACGCTCCTAGCGCGACTGCGAGCGACGCTTCTTGTGGCTGAACGAGCGACGGTAATGCCTCGTACGATGGCTCGCACCAGCCGAACGGACGCTCTGCTCCTCTCTCTCTCTCTCTCTCTCTCTCTTGAATGCGAGGCCAGTACCGAGCGTCGTTAGAGCACTCGAACACCCCGTGCGTCTGCATGCGCCCCCCCCCCTCTGGCTTCTCGAGCCCCCACGAGTCTCCGTACACGTCCTTGCCCCCCACAATCTTCGTGCGCAGTTCGACGAGCGACTCGCCTCGATGCACCTAAAGAGCTCCCCTCCCTCTCTCTCTTTTTCTCTCTCTCTTTTTTTTTTTCTCTCTCTCTCTTTCTCTCTCTTTCTCTCTCTCTTTCTCTGGCTTTGTTTCTTTACGTCGAGCGCAGTTCTTCGCAGCTAGCTACTCACGCGGAAATCTGGTCCGTGCGTGCGCTCGGTGCATACACCTCTCCACAGAGCGTGCGCAGTTCGTGACGTCGAGCGTGGATTCCGATCACCTCCGTGTCCCCCCCTCTAGCTTCTCATCTCTCTTTATACTTCCTAGTCCGTCTCCCTTCGATCCTCCTCCCCTCTCTTTCTGCCAATCCCTCTCTTTTCTCGATCCTCCCGAAATATCTTCCTCTTTTTCTCTCTTCCCGCCGTTTGTCGTGCAAATTTTTTAGGCTTCCCACTCGGCCGCGCCAATTTTGTTTTTCCCTCACTACCGCTCCCTTCTTTCCTACCTTGATCCGCCCATACATCCTCTTCACCAATGGAATCCCTTTCCGCGGTCGAGGCGCTTTCAGAATCGCATCCCGAATGGCACTGCACAAGTATATCAATCGTCACCCACTGATGGCCTTCGGGGCAAATGTACTAGTACGCGCGTCGGGGCTTGGTTGCACTCTCACACACCCCTGTTCTTCTCTTTGCGCTCCTCCCACAACCTCTTATTTTCCTGCTTCAATTGGTCCGTTCTCCTCCGCCGCCTTCCGTACTGCACAACCGACCTCTGGGCGGTTATCAAGATGGTCTGGGCGTGCTCTCCTTTCCCCAGTTAAGTTATCAAGAGTCCGAGAGCGCGCGCGCCCTCTATCAACCTCAACCGAACACGCCCACCGCGTTTCGGTTACTGATTCTCTTACCCCTACTCAGTAGCTGGCGTCTTGCAGCCCGAGCCCTCAATTTCTCCGCGTCTTCCTCTTTTGCCCAGCCATTCCCTTTTCCAATCCTAACATCCACCGGCAAGGAGATCCCGACGTCCCTCCTTTCTTCCTCATTCCCGCAGCTCGAGGAGTGTCGCCCCTCCCCATAGTTACCAAGGCCGGCTCGCCTTCCCGTCGGTTGAATCATCCTCCTCGAATTCTCGAAGCGCAGTCAGTGCGAAAGATACCTGAACATTCACCCACGAAGAAGACCAATCCTGGTCTAGAATCGCTGCCCTCCCTCAACGTCGATCATCTTGACACCTATTCCCGGTGATCGGTTTGCTAATAAAAATCCGATTTTGGGTTTTCCTCCCCTTCACATTCAGGAAACGGTTAGAGGTGGAGCGTAGCGACGCATTTTTACCCTTTCTGTCACCCTCATCATCCCAGGCCCAGGGCCCTGAGGCTATTCGTTCGACGATCCAAAGCGCCCGCCCCACAGAGGGGTTGTTTTGTCGCTGACCTCAACTCGTAGGCACTCTCGATGATATTCATCGGTTCTCGTGGCCAATCTTTTTAAAGAGCTCAGGGATCCTCACCCCAGGTAGCCCGTAGTTTTTGCTATCTCTCCGTGCCCCGTGTCCTTTCGATTTCTCCCCATAGCTTCAATGTGGGCTGCTACTCCCGCACTCGAAACCTCAAATTTCTTTCTGTCCGCTTCAGGCTCAGCTTGAGACCAGGTATCAACCGCTCTCTCATGCCTCGTCTATAAAAAACATAAAATACTCACCTTTCCAAAAAAAAAAAAAAAAAAAGCCGCACGCATACAAGCACCAAAAACCAAAAATAAAGAAAACATTCTTTAAAGAGGGTCCCTCCCTTTTCGGCGGTCAGAGTTATTCGCTTGCTTTCTTCCTTCACACGGCTGTACCAGCAATGCCCCTGAATCCCAGATTCCCTCCTCCTCGCACCGGCTCCTCATGCGAAGCCCTGATCCGCAGTCCGCCGTCTTCCAATCGTCACACCCGAAACGCCCAGGTTCTTTTCGTGGTCAGTGCGACCTCCTGTCCCGGGCACGGCCCCCAACCCTTGGCTCGGTTGGAGAAGCCCCTGGCTATTGACCTAGGACTCCCACTTCGACCGTCCTCATCTTGCCATATCTCGTGCGGCCGCGGAATTTGGATTATCGGCCATATTGCACGACGAAGATCGCTGCCCCACCCGATCTCCTGGAACTGCAGCCCAGGCCAGGTGCGAGATGACCCCGCTACGTACAGTTGTGGTAGTTTGGTAATCTTTCGGAACCGTCGTCTTGGCTTTTCACTTGCCCTTCGTTTTTTACCCGACCAAGGCCTCCTCCGACACGCGCCATCTGCCCCGCATCTTCAATCTTTGATACTGAAACTCCCACCTTTTTGGATCCGCTCGTGCCCGTTTGCGACCAAGGTTAAGATCTTCACTCCAGACAACAAAAAGGTTAGGACGGAAATCCGGACGCCTGAAGACGTCCGTAGATACCACATCCACATGCATGCATACGTCAAACCCACGCAAAAATAGCAAGAGGAAATAAAAAACTCTTTCCATTTTAGAGAAAAAAACCTTCGGCTGGTGGGCAGCCGCCCGACACCGTTAGGGGTTGAGTGCCTTGAGACAGGGTGTTCCCAGCAGGGTGTGTCGTTAGCAGTCGGGCATCCTCCTAGCGATGCTACGCGCATGTACGAAGTGGGTGACGCGTTTGCCTGGTGGCCGTCTTGGCCAGCAGACAGGTGCAAGGTGGTTGTTTGCGCACTCTCCCTTGCGTAGCAGTGGTGGGAGAACCGTCTCCTATTGCGGTGGATGGAAACTTGGAACCGTGTTCGATGTTGAGAGTGCGAGAGGGGGTGTCGCTGGAAGTCTGTCGTCAAGCCTCATGCGCTTGCGGGGGCGGTTGCGGACCCCCCACGTCGGCTTGGTTGTCGCCTGTGTGAGGGATGTGGAGCATGGCAATGGGACAACGATTGCTCCCAACAGTTCAACGACCAGCATTGTGAGGCCATTCATGCCTGTAAGGCAGGCAGGGGATGTCGGAATTGTTCCACGACCACGTCCTTGTCCGAGGTCGGGAGCGTTGCTCTGTTGCTGCCGTGGTGCAGTTGAAGGCCAGGACTCGGCTTCCAAGGCTTCCGGTGGACAGAGCACATCGACCATCGTTGTCGTGGGAGTGGATTGGACGAGACGGTGTTGTGATCCCTGTTTTGTGTGGGTAGCGGTGTTGTGTGTCCTTGTCACGCTGGGGTTGCTTGTCTTCGTGCTGTTAGCCATCATCTTCTTGCTTGTGTTGTTTACGATTTCTGTGTTGCTGGGAGGCAAGTAGACGAGGTTGTTCGTGATCTTGTCATGAAAGGGGGGCGGTGGACACACGACCTCAGCAGGTCATACGGCGACTGGAGACCTCCGCCACACGGGGCAAGGGATGACGGTGGCAGCTTCTCATCACAGTTGAGCCAAGGTCTGTCACAAATCAACCAGGACACAGGGATGACAGCACGCGCACCTCCATCACCTTTTGCTGTTGGTCATTTGCCGGAATGGTCGAAGACCCCCATCCCCCCGGAAAGGATGGGGTCACCATTCCAGTCCTCATACACGCCACCTGCATCGTCGTTGTCCACCCCTCATGGTGGACATCAGCACTTCAGCAGCCCGACGATGCCGACGGTCGTTCCGCAGCCGCTGTCCATGCATCCACCACGTGTCTCGGCCGTTTCCCTACCAACAGCACTATCAATGGATGGAGCAAGGGAATCACATGCGGAGTGGTCATGGACGCACTCGCATTCTGCCATGCCATCAACTGGTGACAATAGCAATGGCACGGACAGTCGGTGGGCAGTGTACGGGCAGATGGTGAGTGGCCATCGTCCGTCCAATGAGGGAGTATCGAGCATGAAGCCTCACGACAATGACGGGGGAGCATTGCTGCAGGATTACGGTCGTCGACGACCGAGGACCGAATCTCCCACCTATCGAGACATGCGAGACATTACTTTGTCACCTCCCCTTAGATCGTCGAACCTTTCTCCGCGATGTGCGGTCGACATGGATGGTGGTGATGACGACATGGACGGTTAGCAGCGGGCAAACGACATTCCGAGCGTGGAAGAGGGGACGCGAGCGCCAATACCGCGGCCAGACAAGAGCAGACGAGGCCTTGGGTTTTGGAGGAGAAAGTCGACCTTGCCGAATGCATGAGGGAGGATGACGCGCTTATGGCAGCCGCTGATTGCAGGCACAAATGTATGAAAATTTCAGAGAGAAACGAGTGGGTGTCGAAGAGGATGGGGGAGAGGGGGTGGAAGAGATCGGTCGAGGACTGCAGGAAGAAATGGTCGGAGTTAACGAACAAGTTGAGGGTCATCAGGGACAAGTGTGGGGCATCGGGCAAACCCTCATATTGGGAGATGACATTGGAGCAGAGAAAGAAGGAGGGGATGTTCCCTGCCTTCGAACAGCCTGTGTGGGAGGCCATGGCTTGGTACTCCAACTTGTCGTCGCTAAGGTGTGACAATACGCTCGCCTCAAATGCTTTGCAGACAAGGGACGGAGGGAGCTCCGGTAGAGGTACATCGGAAGGGGGAGGGACACCTCAAGGCGGATGAACAACGCAAGTAGGGATGACAACAACCGACGGGGCGTCAGATGGTCGTCCTGCATCAGCAGGGGGCGGGACATCAGATAGGCAAAGAACGTCGCAGGGGGCAGGAACTTCTCAAGGAGGAGGGACGGACGAATCAGAGAGCGCACGAAAGACACGTCGCACAGGCGGTGGGAAAGGTCGGGTTGCAGGAGAGAGCGGATCAACGGTTTCAACCATCGCCGAAGCAATCCATGTGTCGACGCGGGCGTACTGCGAAGGACTGGACAAGGCGTTGGACAAGGCCGTTGGTGTGCTCGCGAAGGCGAGCACCGAAGGAGCGAATGTTGTCGCTGGCAAGATAGGTGACATGGCCACCCAGATTGGTGAGGTGGCGACCGCCATGCATAAGGGAAATGCGGTGCTGGAGCTGCTGGTGGGTGTCATGGCACGACGAGGGAGCACCGACGGAGGGCGATAACGAGACAATGATAGTTCGTGGCGTTGGGAACGGTACGGTTTCCGAGGCGTTTATATATATATATATACAGTTGCCTGGAACCCGTGCCCGTTTTCCATGGGCCGCAGACGACATCTGTCGGTGGGCCGATGGTGGCGGGGGGCGGCTATACATAGGGCGGTTGTGTGGTCTGCAGCAGTGTGTGAAGTGCTCTTCGCGTAGGCATCGCGCAGAAGGGGAGGGTTGTCACTTTCCGTCCTTCAATGTTCTCCACGGGTGACGGACGTCGTGGCCGTCGTGAGGGAGAGGGTAGACGTCACCAGAGGGAGAGAGAAAGAGAGAGAGAGAGAGAGAGAGAGAGAGAGAGAGAGAGAGAGAGAGAGGGAGAGAGAGAAGAGAGAGAGAGAGAGAGAAAGAGAGAGAGAGAGAGAGAGAGAGAGAGAGAGAGA